GATTATTATTAAAAATTCATCCGATTATTATGACAAGATAAACATTCATACTTGTCATTACAACGAAATAAATTACTCTACTTTCTCATGGATACAGAAATCACAATATTATTGAAAATAAAAGTACATAAGAAGAACTTAATAAATATTCCTGTCACTCTGAAACTTACACAATTTACAAAATTACTATAATTCTACGTATCATTGTTTCTTTCTCTCAGTGCAATACAAAAATGAAAAAAAATCTCAGTTACAGCAACAAATCTATCACAGTGTCTCAAGCTTAATCCAAGCGTCTGTAAGTTTATCAATCCTCTTCTCCTATTTCCCACGTTTCACAAGAGAAATAATTCACGAGATAAACAAGCAGAGAGCAGCGAGTGTATGAAAGGTCTACATTTCTCCGCGCAATATTCCCTCACGGGTTCAACCTGCAAAACGTCTCGCGCTTGATCGCGGTAATATTGCCTACAACAATTCCTTCCTCGCCCTAAAACGCGTCTCGTCATGTCTGAGGGTTTCGTGATTCCGGACAGTTTGGAATTTGTAGAATTGCACGCCGTACAAAGCATCGCGTTATACCGAATACGAGTCGGACGATGAGCCAGTCATCGGTCTACCTTTACGACCGACCTTCTCCAATGGTTATTTAAATTCTACCCTTGCCAATTTCACTCGTCAAAATGTTTGTTTCCTTCGTCGGAGCTCTACTTCTGCGATACGTGGGATTTCGAGAAACAATTTCGAGCAAACGAATGTGAGAAAAAAAAGCTACCCCTAATTACGAATTTGTATTTTGTAAAAATGTCGAAGAGCAAGAAAATTGACGACTTTACTTGGGAAAGGGAAAGAAGTTTAAATAATGAAATTACTTCCCTTTTTGATATCTTGATAATATAACAAAACACTTTTCAAAATTTTCTGTCTATGCTTCTCAGATTAAAAAATACGCTTGACAATTAATGTGATAATACAAGAAAATATTTTTCCAAAGTTTGCAATAATTTTGTTAATTAAGTAACGTTATGAGAAAGCACGATTTGCGAGTTTCATTAAAAAAAAAAAAATATTCTTCACTCTTTATTAAACAGTTTATTAAAAGTTCTGCTAGCTTTCACTTCTCTTCCAATTGGAGAATAAGTTTTGTAATTTGACGTGCAACGATCGATTCATCCGATCCATTCCCAATTTGTAACACCTTATACGTACCAATCACAACTCTAGATTTACCTATCATACCTCTCCGCCCATCAGTTTCACCTTTTTCCCATACTGAATGAACAAAAACGTCAATCCTGGTGTTTCAATCAAAGAATATATTTTTTTTCGAATCTTAACCCTAATTCGTTCTTCCATATGACTATGCTTGACTCTTCATAGACAATCTGGGTCATTAATGACCCAGGCGAAATTTCACTCTTGTATTCTATTTCATCCAAACGAATTTTCATTTTTATTGCAAAAACTGACTTAACGAACAACTGTACAATACAATAGGAATCTTGATAAGTATCCCAGAATTTTTTCACATTTTTTGAAAGCCTAGAACAGTGAAAGAATTAGACTTATGTAGATATAAACGACCCAGTTTGTCCACCGGGTGTAAAAAAAAATATATCTGGGTTAAAAAAGACCCAAAGACCGTATATACAACAATTTTCATTACCGACAGTCCACATGAACCTGGGCAATAAACTTCTAATATAACATTAAGGGAATACAAACTCGATAACAGCAAAATTTTATTAAAAGAAAAAGAATAAGAAGGCGGTGGGTCAAAAAAGACCCAAAGACAGCACACTAGGGTTAACAACTTTGTAAATTTAGTTCACATTCAATAAGCATCGTAATATTTACGAACGCGAGTGTTCTTCCTTTTTCTTTAAGCGGACGTTGCATGAAAATGAGCGGAGACACGAAGATTAGCGGAGGGAGAAACGCGAACGAACAGGCGAGAGTTTGTCGGGCAGACACGTCGCGGGCTAGGCAGGCAGTTTTCCTTTAGCTATCGCGTCGGCTAGCATTTTTCAAGCGCGTGCAGGAAAATTCGCGAGACGGGCTTTAATTTATCGCGGCCTTTCAGTGCTTCGGTGGGGTTTCAAGCTCGGATTTTTCGGGCGATTTTAGCGTTTCCGCCAGCGGGAGTCGGAGTGAAAAGAGGGGAGAATTTTACAGGACCGAATGACGGTATTTTCTTTCGCTATGGCGTCGGTGCTAATTTAAAATCACCGAGGAAGCATTGAAACCACAGCGCAAAATAACGAGCTACCGGTAATTTGAGGAGCGTTAATAGGAAGCGTCGTTAATTTACCGTTTCATTTATTCCTGTCCCGTTTAATTATAATTACCGCTTTATTTATTCGCCGCGGCTTGTCTTTGCGTCTGTAATTGGCTCTTTCGTGCCAAGCTACCGCTTTGAAACCAATACAACTCGACGCGTGTCATTGTCTCTGATATCTCTATGAATTTTGCTTCTATTTCATCGATACTCGCACTTATCGTGACACATTTCTTGACGAATTTTTAACCGATTGTCGCGTGTAGAGGAATATACGAATTACGGTCAGAGATGCTTGGAATAAATTAGGAATTTTTAGGCAGAATTGTTACCTTGTGTTTTTCGACGTGAATTACATTGTAATTTTTAACAGACAATTTTTTCTGAACGATACAATGATTAGAATACAATTTTACAAGTTTAAGAAGTTGCGAGAAGTATTAGAATTTTATAATCATAGTTACATTTTGGTTAAATTTATTTGTGATACTGAACTATTGAAAAGAACGACTCATCTTTCATTAGCTAACATTTTAAATGCTTTGATGTAAGTGTTTAATATTTTTCGTCTACGCAGTTTAATGATTATACGATCAAGAAAATATTCGAAACATTGAATAAACTATAGCAAAATTTATTTAAAATTTACTTTCGCAGGTTATTAAATTAATTTCCGAATTTGTCACACATGTGACACAAAAATTTATCGAAATATTCAAAAAAAATTCGAATGCACCTTTCTTATTCAGCGAAAGTTTTAATTTGTGATATTTCTTGATTTTTCAACAGATATTAAATGTTTTAACGCAGAAACAATTGCAAATCTACGTGTAACAGCTATTAAATAAATTACAATTTTTTACAATGCTTCTTTCTCTGAACCGAAAGGGTCGACGAATCGACGATAACGACGACGTTCCAATATCGTGAAAAGGGTGGAACGGTATTTTATAACGTGTTACTCCGGTCTTTATTCGTACAGTTCCCTTGCTTAATCACGGAACATTGAGCACTTCCATTAAGTCGAACCAACTCGAGTAGAACATACTCGACAAAAAGCTTTCGCCAATTGAAGAAAGATAAGACAGACGTTTAATTTCCTTCACGAAAGTCATTCGAAACTAAAGCTTCGCGGTTCATTTCACTTTATAAGACATCTTTCTCTGGCGTAATTTAAATTTGCACAAGTATACTCTATACAATTTCTCCGTGGAAGTAATAAACGAGAACAAACAGCGACTTCGAATCAAGAGTACGACAATCTTCGATCCGTCAACTCTCGAAGAATTATTTAAATTATAACGTCGCTTTTTAGTCTATACCTTTCCCGCTGCTGTTCAAATTATGTACCGAACGAAATTACGGAACAGAGTTTCAACAAGATTTCTAATTATGGTTCTATATAAGTAGTATAAATTGCAACAGATGGTAAGTCAACGCAAACTCGTAAATTAAAATAAGATTTGACGGCGAACGGATTAAAAAATTTCTCCTTTCGTGCAAGTTAGAAAATAAGAAGACACTACTCTCGTCGAAGAAATAATATTTGAAAAAATTCGAAATTTTAAAAAATTGTAATGCAAAAATAATATTTTATTCGTAATTTTTAAATACGTCGATATCAATTTCGTGCAATAATTATTTCTCGTTGTTTCACGGATTTAATACTAGACTTGACAATAAATGAAACTTCATTCTCTAATATGACCGAAGTTACTTAGATCAAATCTAAATGAACAATCTTCACATACGTCGAGCAGTTCAACATTTCACAGAACATAAATTTCATTAAATCTCGCCGTAACTACCGTCGGAGCATCTATTTTACACGCGATAACGTATAAGAACGGGTGAAACTAGCAGCGAAGAAAACTTTCCCTAAAACTTCTCCGCGTGTATCTGATACGCTCGAACGAGCACAAAGGAACGGCGGAATTATCATATGGAGAAATGTACTCACTCGGATCCTTGACGGCGGTGATAACAAGCCGGAAGCCGTTCGAGACGGTGCCCCAGGAGTCCGTGACGTATTTCAGTGTTACGAAGTTCGTACGCGTATAAATCGCGCCCACAGTTTGCTTCGTATTCTGGCAGGACAGGTCTGCCTGGAAAACAAAAGAAAGGCCACTCGTTGGATGAGACAGTCTTCACACACGTAACACTTGCTGAAAGAACACTATGCAGCGAGGTCGTAAAATTAGATGGGCGTAAAAAAAAAAATGAAATTAGATCGTTAAAGCATTAGTTTGGATGAGATAAGGAGCTTAAGTCTCGTTAGAAGCCTATAGGCGTTTTGAATATTTTTTTACACTGTGACCTTGAAGCCTATAGGCGTTTCGAATGTTTTCTTGCACTCTGTCTTTGACACCTATAAGCGTTTCAAATATTTTCTCGCACTGTGATCTTCGCGCCTATAAGCGTTTTGAATATTTTCTCGCAGTGGATCCTTGACGCCTATGGCCGCTCTCAAAATTTTCTTACACTGTCCTTGGCACATATAGGCGTTTTGAATATTTTCTCAGACTGTCCTTGGCGCCTATAGCCGTTCTGAAAATTTTCTCACACTGTCCTTGGCGCATATAGGCGTTTTGAATATTTTCTCAGACTGTCCTTGGCGCCTATAGCCGGCATTGAAAATTTTCTCACGCTATCCTTGGCGCCTATAGGCGTTTCAAATATTTTCTCCCACTGTAACCTTGGCGCCTATAGGTGTTTTGAATATTTTCTTACACCGTGCATTTGACGCCTATAGGCACTTCGAAAATTTGCTCGCACTGCACCATTGGCACGAATTTAATCCTTAATTTCCGTCCTTCGCGTATTTCCACTTTAAAACGATAAATTTTAAAATGTTTACAAAAGATTTTGCGGCCGCTAGTCAAAAGAAGCTTAAATACCGTATATCTTAAACGAAAGCTTGCAAGCAGAAATTTTAAATGTCAATTCACAAATGACGGACGATCCTAGGTGCGGCTATATCAATCGGTGTCGCCGCTTAATGCTTTAATTTACGACCTCACTATATCGCTTCCATCAACTACACCTGCCATAAATCGTACGAAAATAGCATCAGGCTAATTGCCTTCGACGACCCTTAAAAATATGTTGTCGTTAACACATCTACAAATCATTATGTCTAGAATAGACACTAAATTGATATCAAATTTTTGTTCGAGTACTCAAGTGAGACATACGACAGGGTTAATGAGGTCGCGGAAAATGTGTTTCGCTGGTCGTGCAATGCGGTTTCTGCAGGACAGTGCTTTTTGTTAGGTATGTTTGGGGAAGTTCATTTGAAGCAGAGAGGAAGGTGGACGAATTTTACTTGGACCAAGTGAGACATACGAAAGGGTTAATGAGGTCGCGGAAAATGTGTTTCGCTGGTCGTGCAATGCGGTTTCTGCAGGACAGTGCTTTCTGTTAGGTATGTTTGGGGAAGTTCATTTGAAGCAGAGAGGAAGGTGGACGAATTTTACTTGGACAAAAGGTAGTTTAATAGCGATCAACTTGTTTGTGGCGGTGGAAATACAACGTTGTGTACATACAGCGGGTAGAGAAAATATTTCTATGTTGTTCGTTCTTCTTCGTTGTGGCATTTACACTACCGGCCAAAAGTTTGGAATCACC